TTGTGGGAGTAAGAAGTAAAAGAGTTCACTGCTTGGGTGGGAAGAGGGACGGGACAAAAAAAAGAAGAGTGTGTGAAGCACCACAGGTACAGGCAAATCACGCCTATTCTTCCATTTCCTTTTCTACATGGGGGTTTTGCTTTCTGATGGTATGCTTGGAATTTGAGATGCTGAACTCATACATAGCCTGAGATTCAGAGGAAGGTAGAAAGACATGTATGATCAGAAGTTGAGATATAAGAAGTGAAAATGTATTTAAATAATAAAAGTTCCAATACGTACAAAAGTTATATCTTAATGTGCATTTTCAAAATTCTGAACAGCATGGTGAGAGAGAATTGAGTAACTACTATGGGTAACAGGTGCTTTCAGGAACTCAGCATGTTGAAAGCAACATCCATTTTCTATGTCATGCACAGACCTTAATGAGCATCGCATAGGCAGTGTGGGTTCTTTTGTCTTCTTTATTAGTCTCCTTCTTTCAGCAGTACAGTTTCCTACCCAGGACTCCTTGTGAATCCTGTGGGAAAGCAAGATGAGACATGAGGTCTGGTGGCTTCCCAGAGGGCATCATGGAGCTTTTAACTGGAAGGAGAGATGATGCTGCCCCTCCCTACCCCCGCAAAGGGGAGTTATCTCCTCTGCTGTGGTTCCAGCCATCTAGAAAGCTGTGGACTCCAGCATGCGAGGCCAATCAGCACACAGAATTCCCATAGTGAGTCTTTAGTGAGGAATTTAAATGCTGGAAACATCCAGACTGGCTTGCTCTAGATATATTTACCATAAGTTGTAAAGCAATGTGTTCCAAAATCCACGTTTTCCAATAAAAAACAAAACAAAAACGAAATAAAAACGAAAATGTCTTCTTCATTCTGAGTTTGGAATTAAGTCCTACCCACGTGGCAACGTTGTGTATATAATCACTTGGGGAGATTTCAAATTGCATTTCAGGAACCTAAATTATGACTTGTAGCATGCAGTAGCTTGATGCAGTGCAGTGATTTCATGAGTATTTTGAAATGTCACCATGGATTTGTGTTTTAAATGATTCTTTACTAAACTGATTCATTAAATAATAATTAGTTCCATCTGGCTATTCAAACCATTTGCTATAAGCTTTCTATTTAAATGGAAATCTAAATTAAACCAATGATACAAATTTATCATCATGTTACAAAAATGCTCAAATATTGCTTTAGTTATAATGCCAGCACATAGAGAAATCAAAGAAGTTATTCAGGCAGCAAAGGCCATTTACTGGCATGGATAACTTGATTGTGGCTGTCTCTTGAGTGACAGGCTATGTCAGAGCAGGTTGTCTTCCTGACTTCCTGGTTTTGTATCCACCAACTATATCCAAGGGAATCTCATGATGTGCCAGCTCGAGGTAGCACAGCCATTTCTTAAGTCCTTTCAGAATATTTGTGAGCTTCAAGAGAACATAAGGCCATCTGTGCTCTATAATGAGTTCAGAAACTCCAGGTACCAGAAAAGTGAGAATTTTTAAAACTGTCTTCCTGGTTATATTATGAGAAAAATAGCAATCTAGAAGTATAGGAAATCAAGTTGCAAGGCTTCATTCTCCCTAGCCTGAATAGCAAAGACTTGTTCAAAGACTCGGAACGAAGTATAGCAGATTGAGGAGGTACACACCTATAATCTCAACAGCCATGGAGCTCAAGAGTTAAAGGCTAGCCTGAGCTACACAGGGAGCCCTTTGTCTTGGGGGAAAAAAGAAGACAAAGAAGGCGATGCAGCCATCATCACCTTTGAACTCCTGTTTTCACTCCAGCCTAGCTGTGTAGTCACTGGTGAGAACTCTGTTCTCAATGCAGCCTACCTGTGTCGTCACTGGTGAGAACTTTTGTTCTTACTCCAGCTTAGCTGTGTAGTCATTGGTGACAACTTTTGTTATTACTGCAGCCTACCTGTGTTGTCACTAGTGAGAACTCTGTTCTCACTGCAACCTACCTGTGTCGTCACTGGTGAGAACTTTTGTTCTCACTCCAGCCTAGCTGTGTAGTCACTAGTGAGTTCGGTGCACAGCACACAACTCCCCATTTCTGATTGTCAGGACACTGTCCTGGCCTCCCTGGTCATTCCCTTCATAGAAGAGGTTTCCCTTCCCGAGAGGTTAAAACTACACATTTTCTCTGTTTCATTCTTCAAGAATAAGGTTCTGTTGGTGTTCACCAGGCCCAGACTACCTTGGTCTACTTCACTATATTATAGAACATCACAAAGAAATGTATGACCACAGTTTTTGAAAACTGTACAAATCCCCTCTTATGAATAGTGTATCCTAAATGAATCCACTTTAATTCATAATGTGTTCCTAAGCCTTTCACCAATGTTAATCCACAAAGTTCAGTGAAGATCCGTTAAAATATTTGAAAGCATTTTCTTTTTTTTTTTTGTTTTACACGAAAAGATCATGGTTTATGTTGTTTTCATTTTCCTATATATATATATATATATATATATATATATATATATATATATATACCATCTGCCTCGGAACAACCCAGCATTGATTAAAATGTAGATTCCACAAAGTGACTGAGTCGGATGTATGAAAATATTTTCAGTGTTCTGTATCAAATACAATACAATGAGTGCAATGCTTTGATTTACTGAAAGCTTTTCTGGAATATTCTTACAAAATCATATTGACTATTTCAAGACTTGATACATGTTGGCGAAGCAATCTGGGAAAACACATATATTGGAAGTGGGAAAGAATGTCACTGAGTTTTCAACAAAGGATTTTATCTTCTAGTGAAGTGAAATCTTAGAAGATGATAATTCATATGACTGCAGTTACTAATTATGAACTTCTGCTACCCTTAAATACAATGCTCACAGTTCATCTGACACAATTGCTAGTTGTCTTAGTAAGGCATTGCTGCCTCCATTTGTTAGAGGTTAAATAGGTTAATCAAAGTGACCTGAGAAATCCTAGTAGCTGATGAGATAGTGGGTGTTGGCACTTGTTCTTATGCCTAGACTCAGGCTCTCATCAAGGCTATTTATTACTATCGGGTTTAACTTTACTCCACTTTGCTTTCCGTAGTAGGAAGACTGGCATATAACCATTGCCTCTTTCCATGGGGGCTACCGCTATGCCTTTCCACTGATGGTGTGACAATAGTTATCTTCAGTGTGCACTGCTGCAATAATAATGACTGCAGGCAAGCCTTTATTGTCCATGCAGCTTCCACATTCCCTGGCGTAGCCTTACTATTCTCCATGGCCTTACTGTTCTCTATGCTTGACATCCTAGATTTCCTGCCCTACCAGAGCTGCTTGTAGTCTGGTCATTTCTTCTTCAAATCATCATCTTCTCATAAACCTTTGTGGCCTGAGCTCTAGAAACAAAGGGGATGGATGTCATAGTGCAAATGTGGGCAAAAGAAGACAATTTTATTTCAGTGGTCTTGCCAAGATCTGAAAATTCACTTGCACTACTGTGTTCCACATTCAAAAACAGGATGCTTTCCCTGTGCTTGGCAGAGCTTTCCATTTAGACAGCACTGTGCTTTCTTTGCCTTTCACACCGGAGCCTGGATGCACATTCGCTGACATCAGTGTCACCTAGGCTAGCATCCTGAATGAGACAGCCATGATGTTAGACCTAATAGCAATGCTAGAGCACCAACCATCATCCCTGGCTACATAAACTAACAGGGTTCAGACGTGACTCGGGACTATAAGTTCTGGCGCCTCAGAGCATCACGAGACTGGTGCTAGTCTCCTGTCCAAAGCATCTCTTCTCTTTTATGTTGACTTTAATGTAGGAAGCTTATAAACTTCATTTCTTTGTTCTGCAGGTTGAATTGTTGTCTCCAATTTTTGTTTTAAGAAAGCATGATTTATATTTTATTATATTTCAAACAAAAAATGCCACTAATAGAAACCTCAGAAGATGAAATTCAACAGAACACTTTTGATAAGATACAGCTGAGAAAATATTTTGTCACACACAGACTTGAAAATTAAGAGTTACGTTTTATATTTATTAAGATGCTTCATTTGTTTGTTTAGGAATATTTGAATGAAAACATTTTTTATCATTTCTGATTTTTTTACTAATTAATTTCTTTCTAAGACGATTCTCTTATATATGCAATGGGTACTGGCCGCGTTCAGTTTCTCCTTTCCTACCACTCCTGTTTAACCCTTCAAACACATAAACCTCTCTCACATTCATGTCTGTTCATTTTGTTTCGTTATTCATCGAGCTGACCAGAGCCATCTGTGTGACGGGGGTTTAGACTGTCTATTGGAGGCTGGTGGAATGAGTAGTGGGTACACAACTAAAGACCATGATTCCCCCTTTCCCAGAGTCTGGAAATAGCCAACCACTCACTTCTCTTTCTTGATTGCCTGTTGACAGAGCTGGCCAGTGCTGGTAGCTATAATTGTTTCAAGCTGATGACTGCAGTGCTTTCACTGAGTCTAGAGAAGGCTGTCTTTCAACCCTTCATTCCACTTTCCAGCTCCTCCCTGCTGTCCCTGCTATCACAATTGCCCCCCACACCTTTGTCTTTGTCTTTGTCAATAACTTTGTAGTTCTATGCTTTAACTTTGGAATTAGCCAATGAAAAGCCCACATGTGATGTTTTGAAGGCCCCTGTGCCTTCGGGTGATCTCTTCCAAGGCTCTGTGTTGGGTCCCAGCCCCCAAGGATTTCTGTGTATTGCTTATCAGATGATAGCCACAGATACATACCTGAAATCAATATCTAGCAAGAGGAGAACATGAGCTCTTACACCTGGGGTTTTTCCACTGTGCTGTAAGCTGGCATATAAGCCTACTCCCTCTTTACAGAGAGAGAGATCTCTTAGCACTTGCAATAAAGACATACACACGCACATCATCTGGCAATAAAGGCGGCAGATGCATTCTCTTAGCACAAACAGTTGGATGTCTTGTCTTTCATTTTCTGATACCTTGGACTTGATCATGGTACAGGTGCCACAATTGGAGGTTCCACTGAGATCCTGAAAGAAAGTCAGAGAGACCTGAACTGTTGGCACTGCGGGGCTCGAGCTGCTGCAGCTGCTGCCACCACCAGTCTGGACACCCAGTTCCTCACCATGACTGATCAACAGGAATTGAAAACAGGTACCAGTTAGAAATCGGGAAAGAAAGGACAGGACTCGGGAAAGAAAAGAAACGAGATTGGGAAAGTACGAGATTGGGAATGAAACGAGACTGGGAAAGAAATAAGAAAGGAGAGACTTGGGAAAGAAATGATTTGAAAACAGGTACCTCACCTTCTAACAGTTAGTAAAACTGAAAAGATTAAATCTCCAGGCCTTTTCCTGAAACCAAGATTGGGAAAGAAAGGGGACACTGAGACATAGGTAGATTAAATCTCCAGGCTTTTGTCTGATCCACTGAGATTGGGAAAGAAAAGGGGAACCTGAGAGATCGCCCTCGAAGGCTGGCCAACAAGTAAGGTTATGAGGATGTATTGTAAAAGGGTACCAAGTTAGGGATACCAGATCAAATCTCCAGGCCTTTGCCCAACAGCAAGGTCGGGAAAGAAAGGGGACCCTGAGAGATTGCCCTCGGAGGTGATGGGGGTGGATTGAAAAGGGGTACCAAGTTATGTGTACCAAGTTAAAAAAAGGAAAAGTAAAAGAAATAGAGTAATAGTAATAAATAAATAAATAAATAAATAAATAAGCCACGTAAAGATGCAAGATGCACTCAGAGTCTGGACACTGTGTGCTGTTGTGTTGTCTTTGAACTGTTCAATTGGTAAGAAAGGAATAACAACTGCTAAAAGACATTTAATTATAAATGCTACCAACTTAATCCAATTTATATATTTTAAAAGTGCTTTGACTTCAAAATGTAAATATAAGTACAGGTTACTTTGGAAAAGAGATTTTGTTTGTATTTTCCCAGCAAATAAAAAGCTGGGAGTTCCTTCCAGACTTCCATGGTTTGATGAAGCAAGACCACCTGAAGCAGTGGCTCAGGTGATCCAACATTCAAAACAGCTGACATGATGCAGTTTGCAGACCACAAAAACAAGGACTTCACCAGGTTTCTATATGTTTTGTCATGATCCCCATGGTATTTCAGTGCCCCCAACCAGCAGGAAACAGTCTAGAAAGAAGCAACACCCACATTCCTAAATATTGTTTATAAATATTATTTTCATTTATACAGTGTTGCTTACTGATACAAATTTAAGGTCAATTTTGTGAGTCATCTCTAAAAAATTTTAGCCAAAAGCCTGGCCTCTCCACCCTGCATCTACAGAATTACAAGGAGTGGGTACAGCTGTAGCTTCTGAGTGTAACTCAGAACTTCTCAAATGGAGGGATGATGAGGAGCACTTTTAAAAACTTTTGTCTTAATTTAAGAATTGGCTGGAGCTATTCTGTCACAAGAGATTTAAATTAAGGGAGTTTCATTTCAACAAACTAATCATGACCTAGGAAAAAAAAGGATGACTAAAAGATGTTTGTGTGTATGGAATGGCCACACCAGTGTGTATGAAATGTGATTGTGAATATGTGAATGTGAACTGCTTAAAGCGCCTTGGATAGGATTAAAAGGATATAGCCAAATATAGAATCCAGTTAGTCAGTGTCTTAACAGGAATGGTTGGTGATTTGAGTCCTTAGAGCCAGTCAGTGGAAAAATAGCAAAAGACTATCTACAACATGGCCTGATAGAAGTTAATACATAATTTGAAAAAAGTTGTTGAGAAGAAGCCTCAGGAAAACTGCTGTCCTGTTAGACCCCACTTACAAAGGAGTCAGTGTAGATGCAAATTCGGTCATATCAGCTAAAATACAAATGAGACACTGTCAGCTAGCAAGAGCTTTACACATTGGATTAGAAAAAGAGTATCCACAAACTTCAAGTAATTTTCAAAAGTTATATGGGACATATGTTACAGCCTAAAGAAATTAAGCCTCAGATAAATTAACAAAATTGGTCACTTTATCTCAGGTAAAAAGAGCTCTACAGTCTCAAAAATCTTCATCATCAAAATAGCAGAAGTCTAAGAAAGCAATTTGGTTTAACTAGAGTGACTGCCCATCAAAATTGTGGAGAGATGCAACTTGCCCTAATGCGGCAAAAAAGAGACTTTGGCATCACCATTGTGGTGGTTGAAGCTATTACTGTTTCTGGTGCAGCAGCCATTGTGTCTGGGATTACCATCTCAGTCTGTAACTACAGCCAGCACAGTGGATAAACCAGCAGGGGAGGTAACAGAGGTTCTCAGCACTCAGAGCTCCTTAAATAACGTAGTCCAGGTAGGAATTTTAAATCTTGATCAACAAACATCCTTAATAAGACCTGGGTTCCTTTGTCCTCTAGAAAGATCCTTCTTAGATTACAGACTGCAGGCTGTGTAATCAAAGAATGGGCTGGGTCCCTATTTTGGGGTCTTGTAGCCATAGGGACTTATTTCATTTGGGAGGCACCTCAGTGCTAGACAAGCCCAGGCTCATTTTGTCACTTGATGACCGCAGAGAATCCTTCAGCTCAACTATGGTTGAGCCTAAAGAAAAATTAGGCAGCCAATGACAGGCAAGACTAAGGGGATGCCAACCAACCTAAGACAGGAGGGTCATGCAGTCTGGGTGATTTCTCCATTGATGGGTAAGGTTGGTATCAACATCCTAGTCACCTAAGACAGATGCTAATTTATATATAAAGAAGGGGGAGGTTGGGTCCCAGCCCCCACGGATTTCTGTGCATTTCTTGTCAGTTGATAGCCACAGATGCATCCTGCTTTCTAGTCCTGGCTTACAGCCCCGGCCTTGCCTGCCTGAAATCAATATCATGAGGAGAACACAAGCTCTTACACCTGAGATTTTTCCACTGTTCTGTAAGCCTGTATATAAGCCTGCTCCCTCTTTACAGAGGAATACAGAGACAGACAGACAAAGAGAGAGAGAGAGAGAGAGAGAGAGAGAGAGAGAGAGAGAGAGAGAGAGAGAGAGATCTCTTAGCACTTGCAATCAAGACATACACACGTGCATTATCTGGCAATAAAGGCAGCAGACGCATTCTCTTAACACAAATGGTTGGACGTCTCGTCTTTCATTTCCCAATACCTCAGACTTGCTCGTGGCGTGGGCACCACACTCTGACATCTCTGTGTGAACTTTAGCTCTTAGTAGAGCTATGTCCTGTACCAGAGCCACCCCTGTCAACCCATGGATTTGATATGTCATTAGATACCAAATGCTGAAGTAGTTTGTTACACAGCACAAGCTGACTAATAAGGCATTTTGTGAATGTTTACACAGTGCAGATTGAACCAGTATGCAGGCCCAGTGAGACCTAGCCTTCTGGTAATCAGGAATCTGTATTTCCCTTCAGAAGGACAGCAGGTGTGAGGAACTTTGGCTTTTGTAAAGCAAGCAGCAACCATTTTCTCCATGTTGGGAGGCTAAGTTCATTTGAATGAAGTCATGAAGATGTCACCAGAGACATGAGAAATAATTTTCTTTGGAGTATGTGCTTTCTATTGTCCAGTATTTACTGGCTATTAAAGTAATTTAGCTGAAATGGACTATTGATTTCCCCTTTAAATATAGAAAAGTGCTCGCTTTTACCACAACACAGAAAATTCTACATTTCCATTGTCAAAACATGAGTGACAAAAAATGCTTTCATTTCTAAGAAATTTCAAGATGTTGGAAGATGGGAATATAGCCTACTTGCTAAAGAGCTTACTGTACAAGCACAAGGATCTGAGCTTGGAATCCCAGTTCCATGCCCAAAGCAGAACATGGCAATGTATGTTGATAATCTCAGCTCTGTGGAGACCAAGACAGGAGAGTGCGTGGTGCTTGCTGGCCGGTTACTCTTGTTGAACCAGGGAGCTCCAGGCTCATGAAAATATAAGGCAGAGAGTGATTGAGAAAGACACACAATATCAACCTCTGGTTTTCACATGGAGGTGTATACAAATGCACCTGGACACAAATGCATGGGCACACACACAGTAACACGTACATACACAATATACACACTCAATGACCAGTCTGAAAACATATACATACAAGTAATGTTATACAGACTGAGCAGATTATATGTATATATATATATATATAATATTATGTATGACATATTATTCTGGAATACAAAAATATTACAAACTTTAATATATAATGCATTGTATATATGTATATATACTATATGTATAGTATATATATATAACATACACTATATACTATAATACACAATATATATTACAACCTTTAATAAAAAAGAGGCCAGGAATTGGAAAGAGAGCAATGAGGGTATATGGGAAGATTTGGGGAGAGGAAAGGAAAGGGAGAAATTATGTAATTATACAGTTATAATATTAAGAGAATAAAATAAGTACAAACAAATATAATTTAAATGTGTGGTTAGTTGCCACCCAGAGGTAGAGCCTTTCTTGCACAGCCACTGGGGCCCTGGATCTATGGCTGTGAAGTTCTCTCTGCTCTGTCTACTTCCTGTGTTACTTCATCTCCCAGAAGCTTCCTGTGTTTATAGGCCATTCACCTGGGAGAAATCAGAGTGTTTGCTTCTGAGCTTGGACTGGGGAAGAAAATGCACAGCTTCATCACAGCTTTTTTATTAAAAAACAGAAAAGAAAATCCTATCCTCTATTGGTCAATCACCTGCAAGGATGGGTTTTCTTAATTGTCCTGGACCAAGTGGGATCCATCCTGCCCTGAATTGTGTTCTTGCTATACATAGGGGAAGGTGTGGGACACACATGGGAAAGAAGCACACTATCCACCACAGAAGAAAATGTTTCTGCTTAATTATTTTTACTGTCTAAAATAACTGAATATTTGTGCTCTAAAACATTATGGGACCTCAGCCCACTTGCAGACTGAGTAAGAGATCCAGACCCAGCCTCATGGCTTCTCCAAGTCATCCAGTCAACCAGGATACCCTAGGACTCTGGCCTTCAATCTAAACTCAAAGACATGAGTGAAAACCTAACTCCAGATGCTCAGAAAACATCAGAAGAATACTAGTAATATGAAGATCAGGACAGTATGCCTCACCCCCAAGATTGCCAAACACATAGTAAGGGTTCCCAAAGAAAATAACTTAGATGAAACTCAAGACATAGAATTCAAAATAACTAATAAAAACATGTTTGAAGAGGATATGAATTAACATTCAAATGAACTGCAAGAGAACAAGAAAAAAAAACCTCATGATTGAAGTCCTAGGAAACACAAACAATTGGCTAAATAAACTAAGGAGGCAGGTTGAGAGATGAAACTTTAGTGTATTGAAGAGACAGACATACCAAAGATAACTCAACCTGAAATGACGCTGGGAATAGACAACTCAGCAAGGTACAGGTGAGCCAGCCCTGAAGGTGGGAGAATGGGAGAGATAGCCCTACTATCTGCCACACAGTGGCATGGGTGAGAGAGGGATGCTCCCTCACCTCTCACCACCAGGTGGGAAAGCTAGGCCCTGGGGGCAGAGCTGACCTTGCCCGTCACCTGCTGCAGCACTTGGGACAGTGGGCCCTGCACCTCACCTGGGCAAAACAGTAGAGTGTTGTGGAAAATTATTTAAAGGTGTGTTACACTTGTTTGTGCTGTGGAATATTTGTTTTAAAGTTGCAAAGATGTTTTGCATTCTTTTATGTTGCATTTGTTTAAGTGAAGCTGTGTCACTTTGCTTTTCTAAAACACATGATGGTCTAATAAAGAGCTGAATGACCAATAGAGAGGCAGGAGAAAGGATAAGCAGGGCTGGCAGGCAGAGAGGATAAATATGAGGCGAAATGTGGGACGAGAAGGCGGAGTAAGCTAGAACAAGAAGAGAGGTTGCTAGAGGCTAGCCACCCAGCCACACAGCCAGCTATGGAGTAAGACTGAAAGTAAGATTGCAGAATTAAGAAAAGGAAAAAGGCCCAGAGACAAAAGGTAGATGGGATAATTTAAGAAAAGCTAGCTAGAAATAAGCCAAGCTAAGGCCGGGCATTCCTAAGTAATAATAAGACTCCCCACCCCACCCCCTGGAAAAGCCAAAGAGTAAAGAATGAAAAGAGTACAAAATAACAACAGTAGAGCTCACCCTGGTGGTGTGGATGAGGGAAACCTGGCAAACTGACCAACCTAGCTACCACCTAGGCCCAGAACCAGAGCTATCAGTAGGCTCACCCTAACAGCCACCCAGTCTGTTATCGGCTGGAGCATGCGAAGGGGCTGAACAGGCAGCTCCAGAGCTATAGGATCTCCATGACACAAGGCAATAGGATATTCATGAGGTGTCCCAGTGAGGAGCCAGTATCTAAGGTGTAGCAAGGACTAGACCAGTGACTCATTGCAATGAACACTTACAAGTCAAGATGTATGGAATAAAGGCTTTACTGGGTGAATCCCTGGACCACACTACAGCTTCTGCACTGAGAATTTTTTTAATTTTTGTTAGTTTTGGTTTTTTTTTTTACTTTTAGGTTTTATTTTATTTTGGAGGGGAGGTTGCAAAGGGCAGATATGAAGGGATGGGGAGTTAAATGGAATCAGGATGCATGATGTGAAATCCACAAGGAATCAATAGAAGGAGTCTAAAAGTTAAAAATTAAAAAATAAAAAAGAATTTCATGGACAGACCCTACCTCTGAGTGAAAGAATGGAAAAAGGTGTTCTGAGTAAATGAGATTAGAAAAGAAGCGAACTTCACTGTTCTAATGGCTGACAAAATGGTCTTCAACCAAGAGCAATCAGACGATGGAGAGATCACTTTGCTCTGATTGAGGCAACAGTCCACTGAGGAGGCACTATGATATTAAATATCTATTCTCAATAGCTAGGGAATATAATCAGTTTAGATGTCCATTAACTAATGAATGGATGATGAAAATTTGTTATATATACACAATGTAAGTTTATTCAGCCATCAAGAAAATGAAATTTTCCTTTAAATGGGTGAAAAATTTATACTGAGTGTGAGTGAGGAGATAACCCAGGCCCAGGAAGACAGATGCTGCATGTTTTCCCTCATATGTGGACCACAGCTCAAAATATGTATATTTGTGTTTAATTTAAAATGCCCGTAGAAGCCAGGAAACTGGAAAGGGATTGGTGCTTGGTGACACCCTAATGGAGAGGAGATATTAGAACATGGTTCAGAGGGAGGATAGTGAGCGTAGATTGGAGTAGCGTTTGGGGGAGAGGAGAAGGCGGTAGAGCAGGGTGAACTGAAATTAATGGTGCATGAAACCACCACGATGAAACTGATTCTTTTGTGAGCCAATTGAAAACGTATGTTAAAACAAATAAAAAAGAGTTAGAGGACAATCTCCTGAATGGCTGGATAACAGTGTTCCTAAAGGCCATCGTTATTAAACAAAAACCCAAGAGCCATGGACGGGCAAGGTGTTTCAGTGGGTGAAGGTCCTTGCTGCCAAGCCTAGGGACCTGGGTTCAATCCCCTGGACCCGTGCAGTGAAAGGAGACAACTGGCTCCTGGAAGTTGCCCTCTTACTGCCTCATGTGTGCTGTGTCACCTGAGTATCTCTTTCCCAGTAAGTTAGTGTTAAAAACAATCCCAAGGCCAGATGTGAGAGTATGTCTTATGAACAGGAAGCTCTGAGTGTCCCTCCCCCGGCGCAGGATCTAGTTAATGAGATCCCATTGCTGAAGAAAACGTGCTGGAGCTGAGCCAGGTCTTCCTGCCTCCTAGCATCCATCGTGCCAGAAGGTTCTGCGTAGGCTGCTGGGGAAGAAAAAGCATCAGTGGTCTGACCCAGCCTCTCAAGCTAGATGTGCCCACTACTGCAATTGAAGACTGTAACTACTTTCTGATTGAAGTCCATTCCACAGGAGGGAATCCATGTATGGTGCTATAAGCTGGGTCAAGAATACGTGGCTGAGGATATCTTAAGTCTGATGTTTAACTCAATTGAAATGGTGGCAGATTTCTTGTAAATATTTATGTTCACACCCATAGACAAATGCTATTCTCAGCCTTAACCAATGCTGCCTCTCTTTGTATTGAATGGCATAAATTCAGAGAATCATAGGTGGTCAAGGTGCCAAGAGTAAGATGGTTGCGTCGTCAGGCCTGAGCAGGACATTTATACCACCTACTGCCCTAAGGTTCAGGGAATGTAACAGAAGAGATGGAAACATAGGGAGCAGAACTGTGACAGGCTGTCTTCTGGACTTAGCCAAGCCAGTGCAACTATGATCACAGGAACTCTGCTGCCTGCCCTGGGCCTACAAGAGACTGGAACTCTCAACAATCAGTCATGGATTGAGAAGAGTCATGGACCCTTGTCTCTCTCTCTCTCTGCTGAACCACTGGCTACTGATGGATTCTGGGGTGGGGTGGTCATTGCCTTCAGATGAATGCCCATTTGTGAGCTCACCAGACTCCATTGGATAGCTCCAAACACATGGTCACACAAATGCCTCAGGTTGAACTAAGTGGGTCTCAAAACAAAACAAAATCCATGAATGTGGAATAGAATCTTAGACAGGAGGCTCTTTTGACAGAGGTAGGAGAGAGAGTTGAGAATAAATAAAATGCAAAATATTTGTGTACAAAATTATCAAAGAACAAACTTAATAAAATTTAAAAGGGATAAAACAAAACCAGTTTTCAGATTAAAAGAATTCATAGTCACAGTTCACTGAGGCAAGCCTTCAGAAGGAACATGATCTGATCTAAGGGCAGCAAAAGTCCCAGCCAGCCAGGGTTGCTATATGAGGTCTAGCCTCATCATTAATATGCTCTAGTCTTGGCAATGCTGGCCTGGAAAACCCTTGCCAACTTGGTCCAGTGAGTGCCAGCTAGAAATTTTCCTTACTTGACTGTGGTGAATTTTTCTCATGGCAAATAAGCCACAGATTTTTTTTAAAAAATCAAATAACAGTTTGTTGAAAAGGCAGTCATAATTTTCAAAGAGTATTTATTTATTTAACGAGCTCTTATACATATTTGCTATTTGCCAAACACACTTCTGAGAACTAGGCAAATATTAACTCCCAGGCTTCTGTTTCTGTAGCTGCCTCAGGTAGGGTGTAAATTATTAGGTCTCCAGATCTAAAAGTATACAAACTAAAAGGCACGCCAGGCCTGCAGGTAAGTTCAACACCCTGGATCCACTGATGAGGATTTTGTGTCTCAGGATTCTTGTCATTGGTTTTGAAAAATATGACTAAGTTCCATCAATGTTTAAGTCCCTCTGAGCCTGTGGAAGAGCATTCTCTGTCATAACACCTCTAAGGTGTCTATGTGCACCTCACACCAATGATGTGACCACCTGGTGAACAGCAATGTACCCAGGGATAGATAAGTATCCAGGAATTCTGGGAAAATTTAATTCTTCTGATGGTTAAAATCCTCTCTAGATGTATATAGTTTTACATATTGCTGACACACATATGTATGTGTATACTTTTTCAACTGAGTTTGTACTTTTCAATTCTAGTTTTGGTAATTTGGTCCTGAAACACTGGAAAATTAAAATCTTTGAGTCAGGGGAGGTGGTACATGCCTGATATTCCAGAACTCAGGAGGCAGAGGCAGAACATTGTTGCAAGTTTGAAGTCATCCTGGGATACACAGAGAGACCCTCAATAAAGGCTCAATAAAATAGGATAAAATTAAATGAATCTATTGTTGCTTATCTAGTACAGCACTGAAACATAGGGATGCGTTTATCTATGTTCTTATATCGCTGCAGGATTATTTCTGGAATAAACACTGCTACCAATGGGAGTGGAAGAGAGGTGTCACTGCTGGACCAAAGCCAGGGTACTCCTGAAAGCCTTTGTTCCCAGGTCCAGTTTGTATTCTCACATTATACTCTAAGACCATAGGATGGGGTGGGCAAGCAAGTAAGATTTTACAGACGTGTAAATGGTGGTCAGCAGATCGTTAAAGGCGATGACTCATTGTATCAACTAGTTTTCCAAGTCATTCTATCCCAGGTGATAAGTGAAGTCATACTTGTCAAATTGGTAGTACAAGCAGTGCTTTCAGTAAGCCACTAAATAAATCAATAGATTAATATCTAATAATTGATCTTTTCTATCTTATTCTACTTCAACATATAGTAATATAATAAATACCCACAATGCTCAACTTGAGCTCACCAATTCCTCAACGCATGCATTTATCCATGTGGTCTTTTTCTATCATCTACCTTTCTGTTTTGATTGGTGGTGGGGAATGTCTTTCTGCATGCTGAGAATATATGCTTGTTATTGGTTGATGAAGAAATGCTGATTGGCCAGTAGCCAGGCAGTAAGTATAGGCAAAGTTACCAGATGAGGAGAATTTTGGGAAGAAGAAGGCAGTGAGAAGCCTCCAGAGAGATGCCATGTAGCTACCAGGAAGATAGGACACCAAGGATTCTCCGGTAAGGTAAGGCCATGTAGAAATACATAGATTAGTAGTTATGGGTTAGTAATTGAGAGAGAAAGCTAGCTAGTAAGAAGCCTGAGGCATTGGCCAAACAGTTTATGATTAATATAAGCTTCTGTGTGTTTATTTGGGACTAAGGGGCTGTGGGACCAGGTGGAACAGAACCTCTTCCTACATTTCGATGAGTACTGCCTTACACTTGGATTCTCCTTTTCACTATTATAATTTCTGTCTCTTTGGTATTTTCAGTCAGAGAGCTTCTCTTTTATTTTATTTTGTATTTTGGTCCTGGTATCAAAAATGTATAAAAGGGATGTATACTGTTAAAGTTAGACAAATTTGCAGGCTGTCCTAGGCTCTGGTCTCACTGGCTCATAATTTCAAGCAGCACTTTCAAGGCTACCACAACCATCATCAGTTATCCTAACAATTAAGCCTTGAGCACCTTGGCTGGGTTCTGCACGTAAAGTTCAGATAGTTTGATTGCATTTTTACTCTTTTCTTCAAGCCTACATCCTCAGTTATGGGGAACTACATCAATTTAATTCTGCATATATTTAAGACATGGGAAATTATAGTTTTATGTACATATAAAACCATTACTGCTGTTACATTAAGTCCATCACCCTACAGAGCTACCTACCTCTTGTTATTGCTGTGGTAAGAACATCCTAACTCTACTCTTAGAAGACTTGTAGTACCTAGAACAGCACTGTTAACTATAGCCACTGCACTGTACACTAAGCTTTGACATTTGTTTATCCTGAGTACCTCGACTTTTACATCCTTTTGTTCACCTTTCTCTGTGCCTAGGACACCCTGCTCTACTCTTTGCTTCTAGGTATCAAGTTAAAAAACTTTTTCTGGATTCTACACTAGGTCAAACAGTAGAGGAGTTTTCCTCTTTGGTTAACCCCATGTACCACAGCTGCATGGAAATTCATCTACCTGGACCCAGATACAGTATCTCGTTCTTAAAAGTCTGTGTGTATCTACATCTACCAACATTTTCTTACCCACATTGCACTGATGAACACTCATGGTAACCATGTTTCTCGTCTATTCTGAACAGTACCTTGGTAAACATGCTAGCGAATATGTCTCTACAAACTTCTGATTTCATCTCCTATGAATACAGTCTTAGCAGATGGATTACTCAACCTATCACACGATAGTTCCTTTTTAACTTTATGGGGGATTTCTATATTTGCTATATTAGTTACTTTTCTATTGCTGTGAAGAGATGTCATAACCAAGGAAACTTACAGAACAGAGTTTATTGGGGACTTACAGTTTCAGAAGGCGAGTCCATAACCATTATGGTGGGAAAAATGGCAGTAGGAAGTCAGGCATGGTACTGGAGTAGTAGCTAAGAGCTTGTGTCTTGAGATACAACAACCAGGTAAAAACAGCTAACTGGGAATGATGTGGATTCTTTTGAAATCTCAAAACCTGTCTCTGGTGACATGTCTCCTCCAACAAAAACACACCTCCTAATCCCTCCCAAAAAGTTCCACTATCTGGAGGCCAATTATTCAGATGTCTGAGCCTGTGGAGGCTAAACCAACTTATGTTCCCACCAGCTATATACATACTGGTCTGAAACTAGCTGTGTGGCCCCTCTGGCCTTTGAACCTCTGAATTTCCTGCTTCTATACTTTAAGTAGTGGGATTACAGGCCTGTGCCACCACATTTGGCATTGCTTGCCTTTGGAGAAAAGTCATCCTAATAGGCTGTGATGGTGGTTTTAATTTGCATTTTCAGGTGTTTAGTGATGTTGAATAACTTTCAAGTTTCCATTGGCCAATATTTACAAAAATGTCTATTCTGGTCCTTGGCTCTATTTAAAACAACTGCATAATTGGTTTTTGCAAGTGAGTTCTGTGCTTCGTGAATATCTTGGATCTTAACCCATTATCAGGTACATGGCATGCAGTTATCCTAATCCATTACTGCCTTTAATTTTATTTCCTTCCTTTGCTATACAAAAACTTTTGAGCCTGACATAGCCTCAGCTTCAAATTGAATAACTTCATAAAGTTCAAATACTCAATTAGTAGAGGATCCTCAACTCAGGTAGACCCCAAGGCTGGTACTCAGTGATGCAGGAGCTTGTAGAATACACTGTAAAGTAACTCTCAGTTTTCACTCACAGGTTAAAAACCTGGGAAAATGTCCAAGTAAAGACTCATTGCTATGCATATCAGGCAGCTCAGGAGAGAGAGCTAGAAGTCAAGGCCCAAGCCACAGTTAGGCAAAGTAGTCACTTTTAGCCTCTGGTCACTAATTAGGGCTTTGGGCAGGTCATTTAACACGTTCAGGCTCAGTTTCCATATTTCTCTGGGGACCTTGGGTATCTATCTGTCCTGCTTACTTTAGAGGACTGATACTAGGGTCAAAGGGCGTCCTGGGAAGAAAGTGTGCTATGATAGCAAGAAAGAGCTCTCTGAACAGTGTTGGAAAGAGTTCTTTTGACAACTGTGGACTGACTCGATGAGGAAGATGTCAAGACCTCATGTGACAGACCTGACAATCTTGTTTTTCATAGAATTGCAGAAGGACTTTGGAGCTCTGGGCTAGCAGATCAATTGGGTGCTGAGAACTCAGTGGGATGTTCTGTTGGAGTTTTGATGATAAGAATGCTGAGAGCAGTACAGGCAATACAGGCTTGGCTTGGAAAGCTTCAGGGGGAAGCAAAGACTCTACTGGGAAATTTATGTGACGACTCTGAGGTGTCTGGATAGCTGGAGCTGAAGAATCAACTGTGATTAACAAAAGACCAGAACCTCTAAAAGAAAACCATTGTCTTACTGGAACAATTGATGCTGGTCAGCTGGAGCTGAGAAGTTAGTGGTTATTATGACAAGACTTTCATCACTGAGGTGAACTCTTCTGGGAAGTGTCAGCACACAAAAGCTGTGCTCCAGAGGTGGCTGGGTTTGCACCTTGTTGTGGGATATCTGTACACTGTGTGAAGGTGTATTACTGTGATTTGGTGTAATAAAAAGCTGACTGGCTAATAGCTAAGCAGGAAGTATAGGCGGTATTTCCAGGGAGAGGAAGTAGGAAGAGATAATCGAGGCACAGAGGAGACATGGAGATAGTTGGACATACAGAATGAAAAGTAAAAGAAAAATCCAGCCACCCAACATGGCAAACTCTGTGCTCCAGAGGGCAAAGCTAGAGAAGTGACCCGAGCCCTTTGGAGGAGCTCGGAAGATTGTGAGTGGATCTCATACATTGGACATTGCATTATTTATAATATTGGAAATTTGGTTTTGCTTTGATGTGATTGGGACTAGGCCTTGCTTTTTCCCTATTGAAGTAAGACAATATATAGCTTAACTTTGGCAGGAACTCATGATTGAGAGATTTTTGAACTTTTAAGAGAGAGTTTGGATTTTTAAAGAATCTAGATATTTTAAAGTGACTTAAACTTTAATGTATTTGAATTTGTAAATACTTGGACTTTTAAAGTTATTTATGTTTTTAATGTGAGAACTTGCAGATGAATAAGAAAGGAAATGTTGTGACTGAACAGTGATGTGTAGAGGTCAATTGTGCTGAATTGTTTTATGTCAATTTGACACAAGCTAACGTCATCTGAGGGGAGGGAACCTCAATTAAGAAAACGATTCCATAAGATCAGGCTGTAGGCAAAACTGTAGGGCATTTTCTTAATTAGGGATTGACACAGAGTGTCAAATGCACTGAGGGTGGTGCTGCCCCTGGGCTGGTGGTCCTTGGTTCTATAAATAAGCGAGCTGAGCAAGACAGGGGAAGCAAGTCAGGAAGCAGCATCCTCCATGGCCTCTGCATCAGCTCCTGCCTCCATGTTCCTGCCCTGCTTGAGCTCCTGTCCTGACTTCCTTAGATCATGAGCTGTGATGGAGAAGCATAAGCCAAATGAACCCTTTCCTCCCCGAGTTACTTTGGTCATGGTGTTTTATCACAGCAATATTAACCCTAACTGTTGTTTTCATCCTCCCAACTTGTAACCTGTCACCTTTGTGTGGGAGGGGAAAATTATTATAGGCTCACAGTAGGACAATCCTGTCACATCAGAATATATGCTGACAGAGTGTGGCAAGTGGTCTCCAAAAGCACTTGCAGCGATCTGCCTGAGGTTCAGGGTGCCTGTTAGGACACCTCAATGTCTATGGAGGCATCCAGTTGCCTCAAACCATATTGCACGGTGGTTGGAATTTTAAGAATTTTCCATGAACTTCCTATCTTGCAAGCTGTGAGCAGCATCAGCATAAGTATAATTTGTCCCTGCTGAACCTCTGATACCTGGGGAGCAAGTGATGAAATATTCATGCTGGTGACCATTCATTCCCTCTGCTTAAAGCCTCAGCTATCACCCTCTTGAAGTGCAGCATGGAGTTTGCCTGCTGCTAAATGCCTGCATTT